CAATCTGACAAAAACTCAATCACTATATTAGATCACACTGGGATCAGATCAAGGTTAGGTTAGCTTGGTTAGATAAGGTCAGGTTAGCCAGGGCTGTAAAGGCCAGGCTAGGACTTGCTTACACAAGAAGTTAGTTAGGGCGATGTTAGGGTCAAAGCAGATTATTGTATGGGCCTGGGCCAAGGTGGGTGGAGTCAGGCAGACGTCAGCAGGCAGACTCTCGCCTACCTCTCAATTCTCTTATAAACAGTAGATTAAGGTTCATGTCAGTAATTTTGTTATCTCAGTATCTCAAGGTAGAAAATAATAATCAGGCAAGTAGTGATAAGTCATTGTTATGAAAGGTCATAATTTCGACTGATATCCTCTCAGACCAGTATATTACAGGGACACCAGTTGGAGAAACAAAATCACTAAAAGAGAGAAGAAAAACTACTAAAACATCAATAGTCGCAGTAACCTTTGATAAAAGTATTTTTCTTGGCTCCTGCAAATAAATCCTTTCCTTTTCCCATCCTTTTTTTTTTTCTCAGTGAGATATTATTCTCTCGTTACATCATCCAGTTGACGTTGTAAATCCACAGTGATCAGAACTGGCCTCTTCCTCTGACTTGTCTGCTACTATTAATGTTCCTATGTCCAAATAGGCACAGAGAGAGAGAGAGAGAGAGGTGAGAGAGAGAGAATTGTAACTATGTACAATTGCTCACAGGATAACCTTTCCTCCCTGTTGTGCCTATTAAGTATTAATAATGCAGACATTAGGTGAGTCTAGATTAGACTTTGTGATGAGGAAACGTGAGGACTTAGTGTGTTCTCCTGTGGCTGGGATAGGCATAAGAACATAAAAAACATAAGTAGCTGGAGGAAACTGCAACGGGCCTATTGGCCCATACTGCAGTCCTGCTTACACTCCAACCCTATTGCTCAAGTGAGCATCCAACCTATGTTTGAAGCAATTCAGCGATTCGAAAGTTAATGATGATATTTGGGTAACTTGTTCCATCTCATCCACTACTCTGTTTCCAAACCAGTGCTTACCTATTTCACGCCTAAATCTAAATTTATCTAATTTAAACCATTGTTACGAGTTCGCCCTGTTGATAATTTATACCCTTTGTAATGTCCCTTTGTTCATCCTCTGCCTTCCACTTATACACCCTATCAGGTCGCCCCCCTCCACGTCTCAAGGAGTAAATTAGATGCTAACCTGTCTCATACTCAACGTTCCTAACGCCCGGATTAGTCTTGTCATCTCTCTGAATTCCTTCCAATGATTCTATATCAATTCTATAACACTGCGACTAGAACTGAACTACATAATCCAGGTGTGGTCTCACAAGAGCAAGATACAGTTTTAGGATGACCTCTAGTCTTGTAACTAACAACTCTTTGTATGAACCCAAGTACTTTATTAGCCTTTTTTAAAAAACACATTGTTTACTTGGATTAGGTTCCACTTATCATTACCCCTAAATCTCTCAGTCGGATTTCTATGGCATCGTTGTTCATCTGGTATCTGGTTTCTGTTTACATCTCCTATAACTGAGTACTTTACATTTGTCGACATTGAATTTCATCTGCCATTTTCAACCATTCATCGAAAATTTGTTTATCTTCCTCAGTTTGCCCAGTCCTCGCTCGGGGAGTTTGATAACACGCCCTATTTTAGTGCGTCATCAGCAACTTACTTATGTTGCTGTTCATGCCGATATCTATGTCGTTTATGCATATAATAAAACAATAATGGTCCAAGTACTGAGCCTTGGTGAACTCCACTTGTGACGTTGCTCCAATGACTTAGTGCCGCTACGATCACCGCTGTTTCCTGTCCTGTAAATCCACGCCCCATCCATTTAAGGATGTCACCTTTGGGATGCCATGAGCTTTACCTTTCTAATTATTAGTCTTCGTGGGGGACTCTGTCGAAGGCATTTCATAAAGTCGAGATATGCCTCACATCATAATTGTGCTGCCTCGTCCACTGATTCGAAAACTGATGAAAAGAATGTTATTAGATTTTGCTAGGCAAGAACGCCCGCCAGAAGCCATGCTGGGGAATCATTGATCAATCGGTGCTTTCCAGGTGATTTCTGAATAGAGTTTGAAATGATTGCCCAGTAATTCTGCCTACCATTGATGTTAGACTGATTTTTAGTTAGAGGATAGTGATCTAGCCCCCCTTCTTGAAAAATCGGTATTACATCAAGCATCCTCCAGGATTCTGGTACTACACCTGTTTTTATGACATGTTAAAACAACTTTGCTAAGGGCATACTAAGCTCTTCCTTACATTCCTTTAATACTCTTGGCAAATATCTCATCGGACCAGGTGACTTATTAGGGCTTTTAGTTTGTCTATTTGCTTACTCAAGGATGTCACCTTTGATGCCATGAGCTTCTACCTTTCTAATTAGTCTTTCGTGGGGGGACACCCTCAGGGGACATCACGGGTGTAGTGGCGCTCTCAGGGGCATTCCCAGGTGCGGCAGCGCCCCCAGGTGTCCTTCCAGCGCCGGCGGAACCCCTAGGTGCATTCCAAGGGGCGGCAGCGCCTCCAGGGGCCCTCCCAGGAGCGGTGGTGCCTCCAGGGAAATACTCTGGGTCGGCGCTGCCTCCGGGGGATCTCCTGAAGGCAGCAGCTCCCCCAGGAACCTCTCAGGGGTGGCTGTACCCTCAGGGTCCCTCCCAAGGGTGGTGGAGCTCCCAGGAGCCCTACCAGGTGTGCTCCCTCCCAAGAGCCCTCTAGCTTGCTTGGTCGTTGTATCCTATGCCTAACTTAGCCGTGATTGGTGGACTAAAATGTAAATCCAACGAACTACAGCCAATAGGAGAACAGAGCAGTCAGTCAGCACAACACCCAAACTTATGTTTTGCTGTTGGATATTTATTTTCCTTTTCATTGTTCAGGATGAGATGAAAAAAGAAATACGATGGCCATTGCATTTATTTAACGTCATAACTCCCAGATTTCAAAATAGTGTAAAAGCAACTGTCACCAGGCGACCTGCTAGGGGCGGAAGCGTCTCCAGGGGACCTCACAGGTGCAGCAGCACTAAAAGGGGTATTCTCAGGTGCGGCAGAGCCCCAAAGGTTCCTCCCAGGGCCAGCGGTTCCCCTAGGTGCATTCCACGGGGCGGCAGCACCTCCAGGAGCCCTCCCAGGAGCGGTGGTGCCTCCAGGGAAATACTCTGGGTCGGCGTTGCCTCCGGGGGATCTCCTGAAGGCAGCAGCTCCCCCAGGAACCTCTCAGGGGTGGCTGTACCCTCAGGGTCCCACCCAAGGGTGGCAGACCTCCCAGGAGCCCTACGAGGTGTGCCCCTTACCAGGAGCCCTACGAGGTGTGCCCCCTCCGAGGAGCCCTCTCGCCTGATTGGTCCTTGTGTCCTATGCCTAACTTAGCCGTGATTGGTGGACTAAAATGTAAATCCAACGAACTACAGCCAATAGGAGAAAAGAGCAGTCAGTCAGCACAACACCCAAACTTATGTTTTGCTGTTGGATATTTATTTTCCTTTTCATTGTTCAGGATGAGATGAAACAGGAAATGCGATGGCCATTGCATTTATTTAACGTCATAACCCCCAGATTTCTAAATAGTGTAAAAACAACTGTCCACAGGAGACCTGCGAGGGGTGGCAGCACCCTCAGGGGACATCACGGGTGCAGTGGCGCTCTCAGGGGCATTCCCAGGAGCGGCAGCGCCCCAGGGGTCCTTCCAGCGCCGGCGGAACCCCTAGGTGCATTCCAAGGGGCGGCAGCGCCTCCAGGGGCCCTCCCAGGAGCGGTGGCGCCTCCAGGGAAATAATCTGGGTCGGCGCCACCTCCGGGGGATCTCCTGAAGGCAGTAGCTCCCCAGGGGCCTCTCAGGGGTGGTCGTACCCCAGGGTCCCTCCCAAGGGTGGCGGAGCTCCCAGGAGCCCTACCAGGTGTGCTCCCTCCCAGGAGCCCTCTAGCTTGCTTGGTCGTTGTGTCCTATGCCTAACTTACCCGTGATTGGTGGACTAAAATGTAAATCCAACGAACTTCAGCCAATAGGAGAACAGAGCAGTCAGTCAGCACAACACCCAAACTTATGTTTTGCTGTTGGATATTTATTTTCCTTTTCATTGTTCAGGATGAGATGAAACAGGAAATGCGATGGCCATTGCATTTATTTAACGTCATAACTCCCAGATTTCAAAATAGTGTAAAAGCAACTGTCACCAGGCGACCTGCTAGGGGCGGAAGCGTCTCCAGGGGACCTCACAGGTGCAGCAGCACTAAAAGGGGCATTCTCAGGTGCGGCAGAGCCCCAAAGGTTCCTCCCAGGGCCAGCGGTTCCCCTAGGTGCATTCCACGGGGCGGCAGCACCTCCAGGGGCCCTCCCAGGAGCGGTGGTGCCTCCAGGGAAATACTCTGGGTCGGCGTTGCCTCCGGGGGATCTCCTGAAGGCAGCAGCTCCCCCAGGAACCTCTCAGGGGTGGCTGTACCCTCAGGGTCCCTCCCAAGGGTGGCAGAGCTCCCAGGAGCTCTACGAGGTGTGCCCCCTCCCAGGAGCCCTACGAGGTGTGCCCCCTCCGAGGAGCCCTCTAGCCTGATTGGTCCTTGTGTCCTATGCCTAACTTAGCCGTGATTGGTGGACTAAAATGTAAATCCAACGAACTACAGCCAATAGGAGAACAGAGCAGTCAGTCAGCACAACACCCAAACTTATGTTTTGCTGTTGGATATTTATTTTCCTTTTCATTGTTCAGGATGAGATGAAACAGGAAATGCGATGGCCATTGCATTTATTTAACGTCATAACTCCCAGATTTCTAAATAGTGTAAAAACAACTGTCCACAGGAGACCTGCTAGTGGTGAAAGCGCCCCCAGGGGAGCTCACGGGTACAGTGGTGCTCTCAGGGGCATTCCCAGGTGTGGCAGCGCCCCCAGGGGTCCTCCTAGGGCCGGCGGTACCCCTAGGTGCATTCCAAGGGGCAACAGCTCCTCCAGGGGCGGAGCGATGGTGCCTCCAGGGAAATTCTCTGGGTCGGCGCCGCCTACAGGGGATCTCCGGAAGGCAGGGGCTCCCCCAGGGGCCTCCCAGGGATGGTCGTACTCCCAGGGTTCCTCCCAAGGGCGGCGGAGCCCCCAGGAGCCCTATCAGGGGTGCCCCTCCCAGGAGCCCTCTAGCTGGCTTGGTCGTTGTGTCCCACTTCAGCAATGCCTAACTTAACTGTGATTGGTGGGCTAAAATGTAAATCCAACTCACTACAGCCAATAGGAGAACAGAGCAGTCAGTCAGCACAACACCCAAACTTATGTTTTGCTGTTGGATATATATTTTCCTTTTCATTGTTCACAATGAGAGAAACAGGAAATGCGATGGCCATTACATTTATTTAACATCATAACTCCCAGATTTCTAAATAGTGTAAAACAACTGTCCAAAGGAGACCTGCGAGGGTGGCAGCACCTTCAGGGGACACATCACGGGCAGTGGCGCTCTCTGGTGCATTTCCAGGTGGAGCAGCGCCCCCAGGGGTCCTTCAAGGGCCGGCTGAACCCCTAGGTGCATTCCAAGGGGCGGCAGCGCTTCCAGGGGCCCTCCCAGGAGCGGTGGTGCCTCCAGGGAAATTCTCTGGGTCGGCGCCGCCTACGGGGGATCTCCGGAAGGCAGGAGCTCCCCTAGGGGCCTCCCAGGGGTGGTCGTACGCCCAGGGTTCCTCCCAAGGGCGGCGGAGCCCCCAGGAGCCCTATCAGGGGTGCCCCGTCCCAGGAGCCCTCTGGCTTGCTTGGTTGGTTGCATGGAGAGAAGAGAGCAGTAGCTCTGGGAGGAGAGAAGGGTAAAAGTACAAGGTAAAGTTCAGAAGTGGGAAGTGGTAAAGGAAAGGTTACTGGCAGGTGGGCTATCCACCTTGAGGAGACGGGTTTGTCTCTCCGTAACTGTGCTGCATTAGAGGTTCATAAGTTAGGGGAAGGTCGGTCTCAGCTGCTTAAGCCAAGTTATTCTGAGTTGTCCTTGTATATTATCCAGGCTTGCTTTGGTCGTTAAAGGTCCTACTTCAAAGTAATGCCTAACTTAACTGTGATTGAGAATTAAATGTAAATCCAACGAACTTCAGCCAATAGGAGAACAGAGCAGTCAGTCAGCACAACACCCAAACTTATGTTTTGCTGTTGGATATTTATTTTCCTTTTCATTGTTCAGGATGAGATGAAACAGGAAATGCGAGGGCCATTGCATTTATTTAACGTCATAACTCCCAGATTTCTAAATTGTGTAAAATCGACTGTCCACAGGAGACCTGCTATGCGTGGCAGCGCCCCCAGGGAACTTCACGGGTGCAGTGGCGCTCTCAGGAGCATTCCCAGGTGTGGCAGCGCCCCCCAGGTTCCTCCCAGGGCCGGCGGTACCCCTAGGTGCATTGCAAGGGGCGGCAGCGCGTCCAGGGGCGGATCGGTGGTGCCTCCAGGGAAATTCTCTGAGTCGGCGACGCCTCCGTGGGATCTGCGGAAGGACAGGGGCTCCCCCAGAGGCCTCCCAGGGGTGGTCGTACCCCCAGGGTTCCTCCCAAGGGCGGCGGAGTCCCCAAGGGCCCTATAAGGGGTGCCCCCTCCCAGGAGCCCTCTAGGTTGCTTTTTCGTTGTGTCCTACTTCAGCAATGCTAACTTAACTGTGATTGGTGGAATAAAATGTAAATCCAACGAACTACAGCCAATAGGAGAAAAGAGCAGTCAGTCAGCACAACACCCAAACTTATGTTTTGCTGTTGGATATATATTTTGCTTTTCATTGTTCAGGATGAGATGATACTGGAAATGCGATGGGCACTGTATTTATTTAACGTCATAATATCTCACAGAGTTCTAAATAGTGTAAAAACAAATGCCCACAGGAGACCCGCAAGGGGTGGCAGCACCCTCAGGGGACATGGTTCAGTGGCGCTCTCAGGAGCATTCCCAGGTGCGGCAGCGCCCCCAGGGGTCCTTCCAGGGCCGGCTGAACCCCTACGTGCATTCCAAGGGGCAGCAGCGCCTCCAGGGGCGGAGCGGTGGTGCCTCCAGGGAAATTCTCTGGGTCGGCGCCGCCTCCGGGGATCTCCGGAAGGCAGGTGATCCCCCAGGGGCCTCCCAGGGTTGGTCCTACCCCCGTGGGTTCCTCCCAAGGGCGGTGGAGCCCCCAGGAGCCCTATCAGTGGTTCCCCCTCCCAAGAGCCATCTAGCTTGCTTTTTCGTTGTGTCCTACTCCAGCAATGCCTAACTTAACTGTGATTGGTGGACTAAAATGTAAATCCAACGCAACACAGCCAATAGGAGAACAGAGCAGTCAGTCAGCACAACACCCAAACTTATGTTTTGCTGTTGGATATATATTTTGCTTTTCATTGTTCAGGATGAGATGATACTGGAAATGCGATGGGCGTTGTATTTATTTAACGTCATAATATCTCACAGAGTTCTAAATAGTGTAAAAACAAATGCCCACAGTAGACGTGCTCGCTGTGGTGGCTCCCACAGAAACCTCCCAGGAGCAGCGGTGCCCCTTGGGGCCCTCAAAGGGGCCGTGGCGCCCCTATGGGCCATTTTACTGGCGGCGGCACACCCAGGTTGCCTCCAATGCGCGACGGCACCCAGGGGCCATTCCAGGGACGGCGAGACCCCCAGGGAAATTCCCAGATTTCCCACCTTCTGGGGTCCTCCCAACTATGGCGCCCCTAGGAGCCTCCCAGACAGTGGCGTCACAGAGGTCCCTCCCAGGCAGCGCCCCAGGGGTCCTTCCAGCCGGCCCCCTAGGTGCATTCTGCAAGGCAGCCTCCAGCGGGCCCTCCCAGGAGCGCCCAGGAAATTCTGGTGCCACCTCCGGGATCTCCTGAAGGCACCGGCTTCCCCTCCCCAGGATGGTCGAACCCCAGGGTTCCTCCCAAGAGCGCGGAAGCCCCCAGGAGCCCTATCAGGTGCCCTGCCCAGGAGCCTCTGGCTTGCTTGGTCGTTGTGTCTACTTCAGCAACGCCCAACTTAACTGTGATTGGACTAAAATGTAAACCAACGAACTACAGCCAATAGGAGAACAGAGCAGTTAGTCAGCACAACACCCAAACTTATGTTTTGTTGTTGATTATTTCTTTTCATTGTTCAGGATGAGATGAAACAGTGAAATGATGCCATTGCATTTATTTAACGTCATAACTCCCAGATTTCTAAATAGTGTAAAAGAACTGGACCTGCTTGGGAGGGAGCGTCCCAGGGGACCCCAGAGGCAGCGGCACCTCAAGGGCATTTTAAGGCAGCGCCCCAGGGGTCCTCCTGAGGCCGACACCCCTAAGTGCATTCCACAGGGGGCAGCACCTCCAGGGGCCTCCCAGGAGCGGTGGTGCCCAGGAAATAATCTGGGATGGCGCCACCTCCGGGGATCTCCTGAAGGCAGCAGCTTCCCAGGGGCCTTCTTAGGGGTGGTCGTACCCCAGGGTACTCTCCTAAGGGGTGGCGGAGCCCCAGGAGCCCTACCAGGTGTGCCCTCCCAGGAGCCCCTCAACCCAAGAGCCCTCTAGCTGCTTTTTTGTTGTGTCCTACTCCAGCAATGCCCAACTTAACTGTGATTGGTGGACTATAATGTAAAACCAACGCACTACAGCCAATAGGAGTAAACAGAGCAAATAGTCAGCATAACACCAAAACTTTATGTTTTGCTGTTGATATACATTTTTCATTGTTCACGATGAGATGAGATATTGCGAAATGCGATGGGCATTGTATTTATTTAACAATATCTCACAGGAGTTCAAAATAGTAAAAACAAATGCCCACAGGAGACCTGCTCGCCGCGGTGGCTCCCCAGAGACCTCCTCCCAGGAGCGGTGGTGCCCTGGGGGCCCCCAAAGGCCACAGCGCCCCCTATGGGCTATTTTAGGGCGGCGGCACATCCAGTGTTGTTCTCCCAATGTGCGACTTGCACCCAGGGGCCATCCCAGGGACGGTGAGACCCCATGGAAATTCCCAGGGATCTCCCAGGGACAGCTTCTCACTCGGGGCTGGGTCCTCCCAGAAGCGGCGGCGCCCCTAGAGCTTCCCAGAGACAGTGGCGGTCACATAGGTTCCTACAGGTGCGCGGAATTTCAGGGGTCCTTCCCAGGGGCGGCAGAACCCCAGGTATTCTGCCAGGGCGGCAGCGCTCCAGGGGCCCCGCAAGCAGGAGGAGCGGTGGTGTCTCCAGGGAAATTTTCTGTCGGCGCCGCTTCATGGGGGATCTCTGAAGGCAGGGCTCCCCCCAGGCCTCCTCCCTTAGGAGGTGGTCCATTCCCCCAGGGTTCCTCCCAAGGGCGGCGGGAGAGCCCCAGCAGCCCTATCAGGGGTGCCCCCTCCCAGAAGCCCTCTAGCTGGTTGGTTGTATGGAGAGAAGAGAGCAGTAGCTCTGAGAGAGTGGAGAGAAGGGTAAAAGTGCTGGGATAAAAGTTCAGAAGTGGAAGCAAAGGAGAAGGTTAACAAGTAGGTGGGCTATCCACCTTGCGGGAGACGGGTTTTTTTGTCTCTGTAACTGTGCTGCATTAGAGGTTCAAGGGGTTAGGCATGGTCTCAGCCAAGCTAAGCTTGCTATTCTGAGTTGTCCTCAGTATATTATCTTAGGGGTGAGGGGGGAAGTCCCCAGGTCCTTGTGGCAATTTAGATGATCCCATCTTTTTTTTTTTTTTTTTTTTTTTGAACTATTTAGGTGTTTGTTTATTTCAGGGGTCCTCCAGGTCCCTTGTGTGACTGGAGAGTTGTGCCCATCTTTGGTTCTTATTTGTTGTTATTTTTGTTGTTAGCTCTTTGTTGTTATTGTGTATATAGAGAGGCTCTGGTTCTTTTCATTATCATTTTTTCCTGCTTCTAGGCCACCATCTGTGTGATGTAGTTGTTGTTTTCCTCGATTAATTTGTTTAGTATGGGATCCTGTTCTTATGGGGATTTTTCCCATATTGCATTTGCTTGGTGTGTATTCTGATGTTGAGTATTCATGCCGTGTAGTTCTTGTGTGTATGTCTTGGTACTGCTTGTGTGTATGGTGGTTGGTGTTTTGCCGCTCTCTGAGGTAATACATGTATTTTGTACTGCTTGATATTTAAGTCTCATTAGTTCTGGTGATTGTGTTCAGAGAGGTATCAGAGGGAGAATTCTAAGTGGTCTGATCAGTGCTCGTATAGGTGCAATTGCGTTGGTGTCCAGGTTGGAGGAATCTTCTGGAGTTTTGTAAGTTAATTTTGCCAGGCTTATTCTTTCATTATTATCGTGAGGATTATTCCGCTTCTGATATCTTGAGTCCTAATAGCTTTTCCCTTGGCAACATATGGTATTTGTTGATTGTTGATAATAATAGGGCATGAGTCTGTTTTTGCGATGTGAATTATTTGGAGTTTCCTGGGATATTGTTTTTATCTTCACGTCTTCATAGTTGTTTATTAACTCTATTTCTCTGCATGTTCTAATGGTACATCATTTGTTTGGATTTCTTCCCGGGCAATTCGATTATCTGTGTAACATCATTCCGCGTATGCTATATATTCTGATTGCCGGTTGCGGCATATCTGCCGTATAGTGTATGGATCGTTGCGATATGTATTGCCGCTTTGGGGAACCCGCTATAGCGTTGAAGGTTTGTCCTACATGGTTGTCAATGATTAGTTTGGCTCTTTCTGTTATCTAAGAAATCATATAGTAGTGTTGTGATGTTTGTAGGCATGTCCAATTTGATTATTTGGTACTTCATTCCTTCATGCTGTGACTTTTACTTCAAATGCTTTTTGAAACATCTTTTAGAATTATATTGCTGTTTTTGTTACTTGCGGCATTTGCGATTGATTCGTATATTAGGTGCTATTGCTGTATTGGTTCCTCGGTTTTTTCTGGAAAGCCGTGTCTCGGGTTATATTTGTTTCTCTTGGTCTAGAAAATTTCTGAGTCTGTGATTAATTATTTTTTCTAATATTTTTACCGGTGTTTCCAGTAATGAGATGGGTCTTGTAAAGTTTTCTGCTTGAGTATGGTTCTTTTTCCTGCTTTCTGGATGAGTCTGATTTGGCTGGATTTAAATTTGGTGGGGAAAGCCAGTTGCAAGTGAGTATTGTATATATTTTTTGAGCTGTTCGATCATAGTCTGAGGAATGATTTGTAATAATGATTTTATGAATTTGGTTATGCCAGGTGCTTTATTCTTGAAACTTATATTATTGTTTTACAATATCATTTTGAGTTAGAGGAGTTACTATTAAGGTTGTTGATGTTTAAAGAGTTGAGGTTAATTTTACGGTGGGGTTTCATTTGTGTTCGGTTCAAATATGTTCTTGTTGCCTGTTCTGTTTGCAGAGTTTCTCTATTATCTTCTGTCGTTGATTGTGAATATGTTTTTCCAGAATTCTCTAAATATTGCCCTTTTTTTCGTGTGGTTCTGTTGCTTTTCACTGTTTTTGTCCTTAATTATAATTGTTTCCCCAATGAATTAGTTCCCCATTAGGTTTTTAATTTTTTTCCAGAATGCTTTTGGTTTCTGTAGATCTCCCTTGTGTGTCCTTGAATCAGCTTGTTCCATGTTTCATTGTGTTTGTTCTTTACTTATTTCTTTCAGTTCTTTCTTTTTTATATTCCTGTGCTACGGAGTTCTTGGATGTCAATATGTTCCAATCTGTGTGTTTTGGGTGTATTCATATAGATTGGTGAATCTGGTTTGTATCATTTTTCTTCATGTGTTAAGTGCATGTAAAATGTACGGTATGTTATTTTTTGGGATATTGCTTTTGTATTGCTGTTGTTGTTACTTCATTGGTACCATTTTGTCCAGCGATTTGTCGATCTCGAAGTTGTGTCTTTATTGTGTAGGAGTGTTGGTTTGTTTTTATGAGATCCAATTTTAAATTTTTTTTCCTAATTTGTTCTATTATGAAAAATCTTAGATTGATGAATTTGTATCGGAGATGCGGATAGTTGCTATTATGGGTAAAATGATCACTGGTTGTTGTGGGTCCAGCTTTAGATGTACATTTAGACAGATGCCTATTGGTTAAAAACAATGTCAGGTTTCCCAGCGTTACCGGCTGATACGTAAGTTGCGAAGCGGGCCCAAGGTGAGTTATTGTCCTGTGTTCGATGAGAGCATGTGTGAATTTTTCCTCCTGCTTTGATATTATTTCCTTGTAGTTGTGTTTTGCATTGAGGTCTCCTGGTTAAAGTATATGCTGATTGTTTTGCCTCAGTTAGTTTTAAATTATCACCTGTAGAATATTGGCCTTCTAAATGTAAAATAAGACGGTTCCTGATTAATATTGCCCTGGTTGTGCTTACTTTGCTGCAAGAAAGTTGCTGGCGAAAGTTTGGTTCTTATGATTTTATACTGTAAGGGCCAGGTTTATAGCTATTAAGTAAGTTGTCGTGGTTCATCGTGTATGTTCATTTGATGTACATGGTAGTTAAAATCTTGATTTTATTACCTTTTTTTTCCTGACCATGTGCGTTGATAAGAATAATGTCTGGGTCTATTGTGCTGTATATATTGGTGAGTTCTGATTTCGCTTCAGATTCCAGGCAAGGACGCTGTAGCTGATTATCTTTAATAATTTATTTTGTGTAATCGCAGGATCCTGGAGAACTTGGTGTGTGGGTGTTTGCTGGCTGTGCATCTCCTGGTGAGTGTCTACTCCTTTCCTCCTTCAGTCCCGTTCTGATTTTCTTAAACTTGGTTACATCCACCTTTCGATTCTATTATATTTGGTATTTAAAAGTCCTGCAGTTAATAATTGGTCTATAGGTTTCTTCAACCCTATCGTCTTCGTAGGTGAATTTTACAGTGCCTTCCTTGATTTCTGCAGAAGTCTGGGTCATTTGCGGTTGTAGGTGGTGTTGACTGAGT